TCCCTTTGGTTGCACTCTCCAATCCCATAGTGTAGCAACATGGGACAGATGACCATGGAATGCTCCACGGGAAAATACGGGGAGTTTATACATATTGCATAGTTGCATGAGTGTTAGTAGTGCTTAATTCGTACATTCATTGCTATTCATGGTAAGGTGCTGGCCCTTGAGTAAATGGGGAGTGGAAAGAACTGTATAGATTATATTATGATGCATACAGAACATTTGGTTTTAACTTTCTGTTTAATAGATACAATTTCATTACCCTAACTAAAGCTTTGTTCTTAGCGAAATAGTGGCTATTTTAAAGTAATATAAAACTAAATTCAGACAGCTTTTTTTCCAATCAGTATAATTACTGCTTGTTGGTTTTATCGCTGTATCCTTGACTTTAATTATTTGCAGCTTGGGAGAAGAACTGTTCCTCAGGCAAAATTTTATATTCAAAGCCAAGGCTGATGGGCTTGAGAAGAACAGAATGAAAGCAACTAGCAGTCTAGCCTGATGCTACTGGCAGGTAGCTTTCAGAAATTATATCCAGAGTATCAAGTTCAAGAGAGTATGACCAAGCTAGACTTTGCATTTAAGGATTTTTCAAACAGGATTTAGTGCAAGAAACTGTACATAGCTTGCCAGCCCTTTTAATAGGGAACTATTGGCATAGCGATCTTGTGCAGAACCGAAGGCAGGCAATTGATCTGTGAGATTCTGCAGTCCATTCCTCTGCTTTCATGCTTTCTGTTTTGAAGTTTAGATAATGTATCTCCACAGATTGAACAAGCAAAATAAAACGACGTGCAAAACACCTATCCTTGATATTTTACACTCTTGGTGTTCTGTGCAAGTTGGAATTAAACCAGGATGGCTGTTCAAAACAAGTCTAGATTAAATAAAAAATGTTGTTTAATTCAGATACTACAAAATAATTTTCATCAGACCAATAATGAAAACCACCCCATAAAGGGAAGAAAGTATGGTATTTTGCTGGTTTTCCAAAGTGTAACTCTTGACTCATTTTTCTGGATGTTTCTTTCATTGCTGCAGCTCATTTGATGCCTGGTTTGCACACTCAGTCACACTTTATACGGGTTTTCTCATTCACATGCCTAGTGGCCCATAGAAGTATTCTCACCACCAGAATCTGCTTTTCAGACCTCCCTCCCTCCCATAAATAGATATACAGGTGGAAAACATGGCCGTACCCTGGCTGCCCCCAAAGCTGTTAATCACCGATTGCTTCTCTTCTGAGGTTACCAAGTGTCGGTCACCTTTGGGAAGCTGTGGCTTTGCATGGGACAGGGAATGGGACCAACAGCGGTCGCTGTTCTCCTGCCCAGCAGTTGCATTGGCACCCCCTGTCATGGCTGCAAGCGCAGCGGTTTGGATTCTATGGACCCGCAGATATCGAAGATCTGCTTTGATATCTTTTCTGTGGTGGTCACTTACAGTTTTAAAATGTTCCACAATAGGAACTATGTGATAAGCTTATCTGAGGTACAGTTGCCTTGAGTTTTATATAAGTTAAAAATCTGATTTTGAGATTTGAGATGCTGGAGGAAAAAAAAAATATCAGTAATGTTTATCTTTAGTTGTTAAAAACCAACTTTGTCCATGGCGAGCTGCTTGCTGAGTAAGATAATACACTGAGGTGGCTCAAGCTGAGCAGGTGCAAGGCGCTGGGTTTGTTTTTTGGAAACCCAAGCCCTGGGCGGTGCATCAGTGCGTTCCTCTCCTCCTGGGCGAGGAGGCGGCTCCCAGCACCCGGAGGTGCTCGGGGCCTGCTGGAGGGCTGGGTGGGCTGCCCTGGGGTACAGCTGCCCGGGGGCTGGAGCCAGCTGATGGGCAGCGGGGGTGTTAGCCATGCCAGAGGGTGCTGTTAGGAAAACTGGTGCGGCTGGAGCAGCTGCTCCCTGGATCCTCTGCCCCGGGGTTTCTGTGCTGAAGCTGTCAGCAGCTTTGCTTAGCCTTTCCCTGCAGGAGGAGAGAGGCAGGCAGCTCCCCTCCCCGGCTGTCCCCTGGCAGAGGTGATGGCGGGGAGAGGCTCTGGCTTTGCTCTGGCCCAAGTGCTTTTTGTGCCCGGTCATGAGAAGTGTCACTGGTCTACAGGAGAACTTGGCAATGGGGTGGGTGATACAGGTTGAAAGGCTGGAGAGCCTTATGCATATCACTGTGACTTTATGTCCTCTGTTTTGCCAAAGCAAAACATACACAAGGTGGTAAGATTAGGGTTTCATTTACTACGGCTGTCACCAAAGAGGGGTATCCCCCTGCCCCGCTTGCATGCACCGCCTGTTCCCCGTCCTGCTGGCCCCCCCCAGTGTGGGGCTGTGCGAGGCCAGAGCTGATCCCACTTAAAGCAGCTTAGCAGAAAGCTTGTGCTTGCATGCCTCTTTTTTTTTTTCTTTTTTTCTCTTTTTTTTCTTTTTTCTTTTGTTCCTTAGAAGAAGGTCAGATCCCAGATCCAGGCTGCTGTTCAGCCACACAAGTGCTTTACTGCCCGCAAAGAAAGGGGGGTCAAGTGAGCAAGAGGGGGTTGCTGGAGGTAAAGAGGGGCAGGAGCTTTTCTTTCAGCAGCAGCTTAAACTGTGGTGTAGGAGGCCTTTGCTGGAGAGAGACCCCATCGCTCCTAGCTAGTCAGGTGTATTGGTTAGGTGCGTCCCCTTCACGCTGAAATGCGTGCTGCTGCTTGTTCTGCCTGCTTCTGTGTAACAGCAGCTACGAGCACTGGGTCTTCGCGAGATGACTCCTGCCCAAGCTGCGATGTCTGGAGGTGTGGAGTATTCTCTAGAAGAAAGCGAGAAGCCACCAGAGTTCAAGTTTTCACTTGCCATCTAGGCAAGCGGTTACTGCTCATCTGCTCTAGTTCATTCATTGTCTTCCAGGTGCTACACGATGCCCTACTCATTTGGGGAGAGCGTTTTGTTCACAAGAGTCACTAACGTATTCTGACATGACTCTGGTAATCTTTTTGTCTTTCCAATTATTTAGATCCTTCTCAAAAAACAAAATGAAAGAACTGCCCGCAGGTTTTAAACGAAGTGTGGAGTGGGAAGTTACTTCTGTATGGATCACAGCGTGATGTGAAATCTTTGCCATACTGAGGAGTTTAGTTTGGGATTTTTCTAAGAAATTACACAGCAAACTAGTGTCAAATAGCAAAAATGAAGGCCAAGGGACAGGACAGGACCCCTTGGTATCGATTTCCAATATTCTTGATGTTGGCCATTGTACTCCGCACTCCTATTCATCATCTTTGAATGCCACAGTTTCTCTTAAGTCTTGATTTTTCTCTGTTATTCCTACAAAAAGTAAAAAGGAAAAGGTTTTATATTTAAAATAAAACCAATTAAAACTGATGGAGGAAAAACTGGAAAGGCGACAGTAGTACTTTGTATTGTATACTTTCTTCTGTGTGGTGTGGATAGGGTCATTTCAAAAGAACCCGAGTTATTGAAGAGGCTTATTGTAAATTCAGTTGATTTACAGTTAAGGCAATAAAGGTAAGTAGCTTTGATTAGGGGAGGCAGCCTTGGAAAATACTCAAACCCTCAATGAAGTTTTACCCTGGAATATGCGATACACCCTGGCATGTAAGACCTTTACCTGTCCTCAAATAAGGGAGAAGAAATCCTTTGTGTTTTCATGGTTAATATGAAATTATTCCAGGCTGCAGAGCATCCCTGTGCTCGGCACGTGGTGCTCCACAGCAGGCTGGCTGCACGTGCTTGGAGTTTAAGTAGGTCTGGCAGGGGCCAGGAGGGGGAAATAGCAGTTGTTTTCAGGACACCAGAAAGTTGTTTCTGTTAACTTGTTTAGTCAGTCTGCATGGGGACAATTTTTTGATGTGAAGGTGCCTGAACGCCTCAGACACGATGGGAAAACAGAAAGGCATAGAGGAAGCAGAGCTGGGGAAACGGCGTCTTGCATTTCCACTGAGATTTACAGCAAAACTTTCACAGCTGTGGAGGCAGGAGTAGATTGTACCTCAGGCAGAAAGTCACTCGTTTAATTTCTTCCAAACCACAATGTGTTTTTCAGTGTTTCTTCTAATTTCTGTAATCCACTTAGGTTCTGCTCTGTGTGCAGTAATGCACACGTGTGCGTATGGAAGAGCCAGCTCTGCTGGGACGGAAGAGCTGGCACCTACTTGCTTTTGGTGCAGTTGAGGTGGAGCTGGTCTGAAGAGGTTAGGGTTTGTTTTTAATAAATTGGCTCTGAAATGAGAGGGTGAAAGAAGAGCAATCAAACGCATAGGTCACGCTCTTCATGGGCGTTTGTTGGGCATAGGGGGAAGCTGTGGAGGACATGTGCCTTTATATTTTGCCCAGCCAATTGCAAAAATTCATCAGGTTATGAAAATAATTGCAAAATTTCCTTTTCATGGTTTTAAGGCTTTGGAAGAAAACAGCTCTTTCGAATTGTATACAAGATCTCTATGTTAAATGCTACTGGGTTACTTAGCTTCCAAAATAAAAATTACTTTATAAATTTTCATCAAACTTCTCTTTTTGAAAGGTGCAATTGAAATAATAAACTTGCTTTGTGGGTTTGGCAATAAACAGTACTGCATGTAAATACATTTAGGTGTACAGTGTTGTCCTGATTTTTTTTTGTTCGTTATATAAATGTTCTAAATTAAAACAGGTTAGATTGAATCACACTGTTTACTGACCTAGTAGACCAGACTTGATCATTTAAAGTGTCTTTAAAATCATGGTGCACATGTCTGATTGATATATTAGCTTCTGTAGTCAGTATGGTACAAGTAAATGATGTAGAAATGTGCCACGTGCGTAAAAAAAGTCTGTATCTTGAAGCTTAAAGCTAAATCCCTTGTTTATGAAATCTTTCCATATATGAATTTCGTCTTTTAATTGGGAGATGGCAACACGAGTTTAGAAAGCTTGTGGGTGGAATGTATAATAATTAATGTTCGCTGATAGCCTAAATGATAAGCCCCCCAAAAAGTACATAAAGCTATGAACACCTTCTTTTGACAGGCTTTGAAGATTGCTGAGGAACACACGATTTGAATCATTTCAGCATTAAAATAGTAATACCCATGGAAGAGCCACAAGACTTACCCGAACAACCAGTAAGTACATTTAAAAAGGCTAAAAATGAGCATATAAAACAAATTGTTGATCTCACAAATTCACTATACAGTTATTTTAATTAATAATGGAAAATAAGTCTTATGCTTAGTATATTTATCTGGAGGTAAAAAATCATTTTGCTGTTAGCAAAATGTGTCATACATTTGATTTACTATAATCGTACAGGCAATAGTAATAAAAGGAACAGTTGTGTGTGCTTAAACTTTGTAATGTTTCTGTGTAAAATAATTACTTGTTATGCTCAGAAAACCAGACTGTTTCAAGCCTGTTCTAGAGAAATTAAAATTCACTATTTTGATGACAGCATCATCATGATGGTTATTACAGTGTATACAGTTGTTAATTCTTCTTTTACTTGAGATCTTGAAAAGCTCCCGTGATCCATCATCTCCACAGGTGGAAAGCATTTTTTTTTAATTCTTATTTAATGGTGTGTTCAAGTAGGGAAGCATGTCTTAAGTTAAAAATGGCTGTCCAGACATCTTACATATTTGCAATAGTGTCTGTATTATCACTAACTGATAATATCACATCACAGGAGTTTTGGGTAGAGCGATTATTAATACAGTCTGATATAAAGTTAAATTTGTATATCTAAACATAATAGCATAGGAATTAATAAAAAAAGGTGTGTATTAATGTTCTATTCCCAAATTAAAACTGATGCAAACTCAACAAGAAATTGCCAGGTTACCTTGAGAGTGAAACTTATTTTAATTTTGGAGACTTTTTCAAATGCCCACAAAAATAGAGTAATATGCTGAGGGCAAGCTGGTAATGTTCTCATTGAAAAGATTTTGATGCATTTTAATGTGAGAATTTTATGTTCTTCAGTTAACTAGTTAGAAAACACATTGTAATCTCATTTATGTGATGTTATGACATAAGAACAAAGTTGAATGAAACGGAAATGTAAATTTACATTTGTTCAAAATATTGCTTGACACCACATGCAGTTAGGGGCCTGAGTCAAGATGCCCAAAATGTGAAACTAATCAGCAAAAACATACAATTTGCACTTCAGATATTTGTAGGATTTAAAAATGAATTAAATGTGTGTATTTAAAAAGGAAATATATGTAATTACATCATTATGTAATCAAAACTGTCTTTTTAAAATTGTATTCTTCAGAGCATGAGAGGGTACAGCTAATTTTCAGTGCAGGAAAGCATCCTCTCTAAGAAGATTCTGCTGTAATTTTCAGCTGAAGATTTTCTTGGTAATTTCTTTTAAGTATCCTATCCCAGCCAGTCATTCTGAGGCAGAATACGAGACTACATTGATCCCAACTCGTAAGTCAGGTGGTATTTTGAGTATAGCAGCAGTTCTTGAAGGAGGAGATTAAAAGAAGAATCTTTTTGGGTTTTTGTAGCGAGACCATTCCTGAAACAAGTGGATTTTCCTAATAAAAAAACTTGAAGTCAGCTTTGCAAAATCCTGTTGGCCTAGTAGCCCAATTGTAATATTGTACAAACTTTTTTTCTTTCCCAAATGATTTTGCTTTACTGGGAACAAGATTAATGTGTTCCTTCAAAAAATAATGTTAATGGCAAACTGAATGGATAACTGAAGCCAGAAAGGAGCCTGTAAAGAAGTCATCAGGCTTTGAGGTCAATGTATTTTACTTAAAAAAAAAAACAAAAAACCAAAAAACCCAACCAAACAAAACCAAAAACCAAACAAAAAACCAACCAAAAAAAACCCCAAACCCCAAAAAACCAATCAAACCCATTTTCTTGTGTTGGTGTTGACTGCTGGGAATAATGGGTCCAAATGTACACAGTGTGTCTGCCTGCCTAAATGTGTCTTCTCACCCCCTATACTGCCGCCCCGCACGCTACACAGGCTTTTGTCCCTGTTTTTTCGATGTTTCTTCCATTTTCAAGTCTGAATTAGAGTGGAAAAGTTGCTGTGCACACCGCAGTGCTAGAAAACAGACACAGGCATGGGAAATAAGAGAGCAAAGGGAAGTCTGGGGGGAAATGATCGAAAGTGACCTCCAGACCTTCTCATGACAAAAACCTTATTAATTTATGGTAAGTTATTAATCTGCATTAGTTTTTAGAAGTAATCCTGTATAGTAATCTCTCACTTATTGAATGCATTGTGGATGCATGCAGTTGATTTTTATAAGACTTTATTTAATCCTTAATGCTAGAAAATGACAAAAATCTTTTTATAGGGGATGGTGACCTTGTGTTACACTCATTGCATACATCCACTGGGTTGCTCTGTTTGGAATGACTTCTCATATCAGACAGCAACGGCAAGCCAGAGGCAGTAGTAGGGAGAGCATGGTGTTGGAAAGGACTCCAGAAAGAGCCAACGCTGCCAAAAATGTGGAGAAAAAATGATGGTCATGTGTTTTGGGCTGAAGACTTTTTCTTAATTGAAACTTGCAAAGAGTTTGCAATAATATTCTGTGTTCCTGACTTGTTTGCAGTCCTCTGTTCACAACAGCATTGCCGCAGTATTAAATGGCTTTGGCAGCGTTTGCTCCGCCTTGCTTGTTGGCTGGCTGTGAGTGTGAGGCTTTCCCTGCTTCTGCGCAGGCTTGGGAATTAGTCTGTGAATAGCGGCCTGAGAGTTGGACTCAGTCGCGGAGCAATTGTTACCGTGATGTCAGGAGGAAAACTTTGTTTCTGCTCTGATTCTGACTCTGTAAATACAACTGAACTCCAACCCTTGTAGATCTGAGTCAGAAACAGTTTTCCAGCACAAAGAATAATTTGGATTTTCAGTTACAGAAATTTGGGAGTAGGGATCAGCTAGAATGTGTCACTTGACTTTTTTTTTTGACTTTTTTTTTAGTATTTTTTTTTAATCAACATAAGCCCCAAACTGGTAGTGAAATAAAAAGATGGAGGTAGGAGCAAAGATGTACCTCATGAGATGTGTTGTTCCTTGTAGTGCAGCAGAACAGATTAGTGAGGTAATGCCTGAAATGGCTAAAGCTGAAACTTGAGTCGCTGAGTTAGACCCCATCTTTTTCCTTGTTTTAATTTCTTTTTTTTTTCTTATTTTTAAAAAGAGTGAATTCACTTCATGAAAAATCTTCAGACTGTGATCCTGTCACTTGAGAAGGGACAAAAAACTTCTCAGCATTTCTTCAGAGGTTTTCAGAGGGGAGTGTTTGTTGAAGGAGGCACGTGAAGAAGTTTCTGAGGCTTGTGCGGGAGAGGATGAATAGGTTTTGGACTTGGAGGGCGATCATGCAGGGCTCAGCTGGAAGTATAGCACATCATGGCAGCACCCTCTTCTTCTGCCCCGAACATCATCCTTAAGTCATTGCTAGCAGCTGCTCTTCCTGCATAAAATATGTTTTATGACATGTGGCAGGAGAGAGAGAAAATGCTTTCCAAGCCCACAAAAGACTTATGTTTAAAACTGTTCCCTCCCACTTAAGTTTGTAGCGTAAACTGCAGTGATTAGTGATGGGTAGAAAATTGGGTGTTGTGGTTTAACCCAGCCCAACACCACCCAGCTGCTCGTTTGCTCCCCCCACCCAGTGGGATGGGGGAGAGAACTGGGGGGAAAGAAGTAAAATTTGTGGGTTGAGATGAAGACAGTTTAATAGGACAGAAAAAGAAGGAATAATAATAATAATAATAATGGTAAAAGAATATACAGAACAAGTGATGCACAATGCAATTGCTCACCACCCACTGACCAATGCCCAGCCGGTCCCCAAGCAGTGATCCCTGCTCCCCAGCCAAGGTCCCCCAGTTTCTATATTGGGCATGATGCTATATGGTCTGGAATAGCCCTCAGGCCAGTTGGGGATCCACTGTCCTGGCTGTGCCCCCTCCCACTTCTCGCTGGCGGGGCCTGAGAAGCTGAAAAGTCCTTGACCAGTGTGAGCAGTATTCAGCAACAACTAAACCATCAGTGTGTTATCAACATTTTTCTCATCCTAAATCCAAAGCAGCACTATGCCAGCTACTAGAAAGAAAATTTTTATCCCAGCCAAAACCAGGACATGGGGTGTGCATTCCACTGAAGATTCAAGATTGTGTAAATGTTACTGCTTAGCATTAAGACTCCAGTTGAGGCAGTGACATGATAGACTGAAATTCAGAATTGCTGTTTTCCTTGATGGACACTGCACGCTCTCACTGTCTGTGCCATGTTCCAGAGCCATTCAAAGAGAGTGTGAAACCCTTTCCAGATATTTATTGATTTTTTTTAAAATTAAATTAACTATTAACTTAAAGGAAAACTCATTAAAATATTGCTCTTTGTACAACACCAAGGGCATGTTTCTGGCAGAGGGGGAAGATCTCCCATCAGAGGAGGACAAGGCACGATGGCCTTGCGGTGTAGATACTCACCAACATAGACATTCCCATCCAGGGACCAAAGTTGACAGAGCAGCAGAGCAATGGTTTGAGCTCAAGTCCTGACTACCGAGAGGTGTTTTAGGAACAGCTGTGCCATTCTGGTTGTGATGAAAGCATCAATAAAACTGATGTCTTCTTGCAAAAACTCATTTCGTTTTTTGGGGGGGTTAGGGGTTTTTGGGGGGTTTTTTTGGTTTGGGTTTTTTTTTTTTTGGTAGCTGAGCTGATTTCTCTGCCCACCTCCCATATTAAAAAAAAAAACAAAACAAAACAACTGAATTGAAGAGGCCAGGTCTTATCCTGACTGGAAGCAACAGCATTCCTCCTGTGAATTCTGAAATTCAAGCTGCCAATTCTAAGTTGATTTTTATTTTTATCCTCAATGTAATTTTGGTCTGAAGTGGTTTGCTGCTACTTTTTCTGATGTGACTAATTTTTTCCTTTTCCTTTCCTTAAGAACGCTGTGGGCAGTTTGGCACCCTGAGCTGTTGGGTGCAGTGTTGGTGGCCGAGGTCCCCGCTTGGGAGCAGGTGGCAGGGTCCCGGGGAAGAGCTGGAGCACGTGCTGCAAGACAGTAGGGTTCTGAAGGGCATTGAGGGGCACCACGCATGGGCGCAGCCGTGCTCTGATAACTCCGTGCCTGAGGGAGCTGGGGGAACACTGCTTGCCCTTAGCGTTGTAGTTACATCGTCTTTACATGGGGAAGACCGATGCATCTCCGTCAGGCTCTGGGCCAGAGTAGCATGTACTCCAAACCAGACAGGAGAAGGGCTCTGGAGAAGTCTCTGAAGCTGTGGGGCTGAAGAACCGCAGCAGGAGTTAATGTCAATGCCAGTGCCACCAGCTCTTTGCTCCGGTTGAAGTGATGAGTGCCAGCAGATTGCCAGGCTTGGGGCTGTGTGGTATCTAAGCCATTGTCCTGCACTTTGTCATTGCCTTTGCATTTTTTCTGTGCTGGATGGGTGCTAATGAAGTTTGTAGTGTTCTGCTGTGAGATGCTGGAGGGAGTAGCTGCTGGCAAGACTAGTATAGAGATGAAAGCAGACTGAGCTCTAAAATACTGGTGGCTTCATCAGAGAGAGAAGATTGTCCATTCAGCTTTCTCCTTTCCATCCTTGCTGTTTGCTTACTCCTTTCCCCTTGTTGCTGCCTTGAGCCTTTATCCTTCTTTGTACCTCTGCCTCCCATCTCTCCCTACCCAACAGAAATTCACCTGTGGTTTATTAATTTTTTTAGATTTTTTTTTTAAAGTTTTGAGCACATTTTGACCTCTCATGCTCAAATTGCATTTTCCTGGTATTTTATTTATACTCACCTAGGAGACACAAACTTGAACAACACAGCGAGGCATTTACGCTAGTGGCTTTCCTATGTGGCAGCAATCTTTCCTTGCCTGCTGTACCCAAGGCGGGGGGCTGCAATTCCTGCAGCCTGATACCTTCCCAGACCACCTTCACACAAGACACAGGCTTGTTTGAAGCCCAGGTACTGAAGCAGCGAGTTGAGCATCTAAACATGTTCCAGAAATGTGGAAGTCTGTAAAACTTTCTGCTAGAGGTGGAAGGTGGGGGAATGAAAAGCCAGTGTCTCACAGAACATCTTACAGGCTATGAAAACTAATCCTGTTGTCCTGCCGAGGATTTCAAAGCAGTATTCGTAGCCTGCATGCAGAAAACCAAATTTGTGTTCAAGCCAGTGCTTTCTGTTGGGTAATACCCTACACAGGAACTGGATCCAGCTGGCCACCTACAAAACCAGAATAAATGTATTGTTTTTACTCAAAAATTAAAATCTGAACTCCTAATTTATTACAGAAAAAAATATTCAAGTTCCTATCTTTGTATAATATTTAAGTATGGGGGGGGAATGAAGGACCCAAGTTTATGGCAGTTGTGCTGAATCTATGCAGAATAAGATTTTCTTAAAATTTATGGCTGTTTTATTCAATTTCCATAAAATTGTCTTTATCAGACATTGTAGCTGTATATCCCATCATCTGTTACTTACTTAAAGAACATAGCAATTTTGCTAACACGTTCAGCTTTAGCACTTGTTTTCTAATTAAGAAAAAGCTTGTTTTGAGATGAAGAACCCATGGTTAAATGGGTTAGCTCTGGAGTTCAGTGCAAGGCTTTCTGTATTTAAACACTAACGCGAACTCTACAGTAACCAGCGGTGACCTGCTAGTGGAGATCTGCGTGCACAGATTCTGTCAAGGACAGCTCTCGTTAGTTGTGTCTCTGAGCATATTTGTCTTTGCAGATGAAAAAAGCAAAGATGCAGGAATCCCGAGAACAAAGCTTGAGGTACGTAATTTTGAATTTGATTTTAGTGTGGAACAGTTACTAATGTTGTTTGGTCATCATAAGCTGCCACTTTTGAAGCTTGCGTATGGTTTTATTTTTCAACAGAGGGCAAATGTAAGTTGCTTTTGTACTTGATATAATTTTGTGATTAAGTTCCCAATAAAAAAAAATTAACCGGCCCTTTGGTACTGAGCTGTTACAAATGTGGCTTTGAGGAGTCTCAATGACATCATCAAGCATTCTGTTTTTCACAGAATCTGATGAGACTGTCAGGAACTACACATAACATGCATTTATTCTGGTGAGACTCAGAATATTTTAGTATCTATGCTATGATTGTCAGTAAAACTGTGGATAACTGTTTTGAGAAATTAAACCCTCTAAAAGTGATAGCCTATTCTGTGTAAAGCTGTTGTGTTGTACTATTTTTAGCCTCAGTAGATGCTTCCTGATATATGTTGTATTTAGGAATTAATCACTATTATTACATATAGCTGGAACAGCTATGCTGGGGTTTATCCTGTTCCTGTGAGTAGTAGCAAATATGGTGCAGAAAGGTTTCTTTTTGGAGCCTCTGACATCCCAATGTGAGGGAGGAGGAAACGCTGTGTGTGCCATTCACACAGCAGTGGACATGGTACATTGAAACCCTGAATGGGGACATAAGTACATATTTCTTTTGAAAATCAAAAGGAGTACTTTAACAGGAAACAGTGAGCAGCCAGTGCATGAAATTCGCATGTCTAAAAATTAGAAATCTGAGCTAATCACTGCAAGCTGCCTTCCTAGGCAGTATGAGGTGAGGTGAACCATGTCCTGGCAGGATTTTTTCTCTCTCTGGCTACACAGGAGCTGAGGGCCATATGGGCAGGTCTGAACATGCTGGCGTGCATGGTGTTGATTGTCCTTCCGCCGGTCACCCTGCTTCACTGCAATTGTAGCTTTCCTACAGGCACCAGTGGCCTCACGATTTGAGTGTCAACATCCTTATATAGTATTTAAAAATAGAATGAGGGCGAGGGATAAAATTGCATTTCTGACCTGCTTAAATATTCTGGCTCTATTTTGATAAAACTGTATATGATTTTAAGTTTGACCCATGGAATAGTTTAAAATAATTTATTAGAGCTGTTTCTCCTCAGCAACGTGATTTTCAGCCCATGTCAGTAATCTAGCGGTGTTTGTCTTAGCTGCATTGTGGAAGCAGGGGAAAGAAGAGCTGTACCCAGTGAGGGTGGTCTCTTGGAAGCATTAAGCATCCGTAAGAGTCTTAGCACTTTTATGAGTACAGCGTGCTCTGCTGGTCTGCAGGATGCACTCAGTGGTGCGAGTCAGAACTTTTCCCTGAGTCGATGAGAATTGAAAACTTGTAAATGATGGAGAATAAGAGCACTTGGTATGGATGTGTCCCGAGAGCCACGGGTGTGTATGTTGAGGAGCAGCGATGAGAAAGAGAGCAGAAACATGGCCTGGTATCACATGGTCAGAAATGTTATTTTATCTATTACATTTTACACAAGTGGAAGTGATCACAATGAGCAGCTCTCAACCTGCTTGCAGACTGCATGCTGTTTAACTGCTACAGATTCTGTGCCACAGAATCACAGCATTTTTTTTCCACCAAGAGTGATAGTAGAAAAATACCCTGAGTCTGCATAGAAATACGTTATTTTCATGCAAAACTCATGCTTTATTATGGAAGTCTGTTCAGCTACTAGTATTGATAAGGATTTCCAAGGATTTTGGTTATAAAGGTTTTCAGGGGAAAAAGCCAGATTATTCATTTTGATTAAGCTTCAGTCCCTCTCACCAGCCGAAGGAAGGAAAATCACTTGCCTTACAGCCAAACCCATGGCACTCACTGGCTAACTCCCCCCCCTACCCTGTGCCAGGAAAGCTGTGCCTCCTGCCCTGGGGGATGATCACCGACCCATCCTGGAGCAAGTTCCTCCATCACAGCCAGAAGGAGCAGTTCAGGGGTAGATGGAGCTACCAGGGCGCTGCTGGTTGATACCACACACTCCTCTGCTTCTCCTTCCCCCCAGCCTGCAGGAGCCAAGTAAACACCACTGTTGTGGCCCTGCTGCCACAGGTCCTGTGTCCACAGGAGGTTGCCTCGCTGCTGGGTTTGTCCCTGAAGACGAGGGTTGAAGCATCCTTGAACTGGGTGTCACTTTGTACTTAAGAAATGTTCACAGGTTACTAGATTATTTTGGATTTGTCACGCACCACTTCAGTTATGTGTCAATGTTTGCTTTCTTCATACATAGAGTAGGAGGTACAGATAATTTCTTAATGAAACTGCTTTTTCCCTTCATAATTGCCTTGTTGGCTTTAGTTTTATTATTGCTAGTTCTGCAACACAGCTTTTTGTGAAGTTTTGAGGCATCTGTGTGTTACTCTGACATTCTAGGCTGCAGTTTTACAAGGTGATGGAGCCAATGTAACTGCTTATTGCTGCTGAGAGGGGGAGTTCTGCCTGTAGTTCAGGTGTGCACCAAGCATGGTGCGTGCTGGATCCCTCCATGAGCTAAGGCTATTCAGTATCCCAGCAAAAATAACTGCTGGATGTGCTGGATGAGCAAATTAAACTCTCATGGAGAGCCTGATGGGTGCCTGAGCTGACACAGGGGAGTAGGAGGCCAGGCCCAGGCGGCAGGGAAGGAGTCTACACTTTCTGCTGCAGGCAGCAGTGCCAGGCTGCTAGATCTGCTGAGCTATAGCCTTATCCTGAGAGACCAGTTGGGGAGTCAACGTGCTGGAGGTGATGGTAGTTTAATTAGAGCTGCAAATATCTCTCTTGGAATCTCTGTGTGAAATATCAAAGAGTGCAGAGCTACTTTCTCTTAAGAGTCAGTTTGCCTTGGTTAGGAAAGTTGAACCTGGGGGTTATGATGCCCAAGGATGTTAATTTAAGAGTTCATAATGCTAATGATTTGCCTTTGTTTGTCCTGGCAGTCACGTGAGCAACGCAGAAGTCAGCGATCAGAAACCTGAATCTTCAAGCCTTGGTTCAAACCTTCCCATGTCCAGCGAGAGTAAGTATCCTCTGGAGTTCTGCTCCCACTGCCTTTCCTTCCACTGGTCTCATTACTTTGCTTCATCAGGCACAAGCTTTGTCTTCTCCTTGTGATCCTTGGCCTGTCCTCACTATCAGTTGTATAGTTAAAGTTTGCTGTGGTGCTTACAAAGCGATAATGCCTGATGGTAAGCAAATATCTCTTTCTAACAGATGTTTTTGTATCACTGCCCCCCAACTTGCTGCTGGGTTCTGCTATGTCTCACCTGCCTTAGAAGTGATTTTTCTTGAGGGAGGGGTTGAGTTGATCAATAATAACACCTGTTGTAAAAGACATTATTTTTATAAATCATTACACAGCTGTTTGCGTCTTTTGTAATAATATGCCATGCACTTAATCTTAGACTCTGAACTGTATTGAATGTCTGCAGAAAATCCTTCTGAAATAAATGGAGGGGAAACTGAGGCAGAAAATATCCCTTCTTCTGGAAAAAGAGGACTGGAGGTTGTTACAAAAGTAGGATTCCTGTGTAGAATACCTTTGGCTGCCCATATAAGTGTGAATCAGCTCAACTTGATTGAAAATATTTCATTGCTAACTGATTGCATCTTTAGTATTTTAATCTGTGTGCTGTGATGTTGTAGCTGCAGGTGTTTCCAGAAGTTTTAGCCTGCAAAATCTGCTGCCTAATTGGATGAGTCATTTACAAATTCCAGAAGTTGCATGCAGTAATATTGGGGGGTTTTATTCTTTTTTACACCATTACTGAATTCTTTATATGCTATTTTAAAAATAAGAATTCTAGAAATACTACTGTTATGTTACTATTCAGATGAGTATTGACATTCTTTTAAAAAAAAAAAAAAAAGACATTTTTGCATGAGAGATGTGAGAATATCTGACCAGTGTTCAGTGAAAGCCTTTAGATCCAAAAGCTCCCAGTTTGCATTTTCTGTTGTATCCTTGTGCTACGTGAGCTTCACACCATGAATCAAGGCAAACGCTGAGGACTAGAGGGAGGCGATTCACAGAGCATTCAGAAGGTTCAGAGCGTGTGGCTGATGGTTTGTATTACTCAGCCGCTTATGCTCAGATTACATTAAGAGGAGATTATTTAGGTAGGAGAATGCAAATATTACAGTTAGGGTTGCCTGTGCAAACTAACTTGCCCCCCTTAGTTAGAGTTAACGACGTGATGGTACAAGAGCAATACTGCTGTAGGACTGTTCCAGATGGGGAAAGCCCTAATTGTTGGAGCACTGGCATGTGGAGCAAATCCCAAGGCAAAGTATGCTGCCATCCGTGACCGTATTTCTTTCTGAAGGCTGTTGAGTCTCACTACAGAAGGGAGAGGGAAAGTGCAGTCTCTTGTCATGTTAGTGATGGAGGATCCAGGCCCCTGGACCCGTACAAGAGATACGCAGCCTGGATCCCCTCCTAGGCAGGGCTGGAACCTGGGTGTTTTGCCTACTTACAAACTGGCTTCAGATGAATAAGCTGGATCCACAGCAGCACAGCTGTGTTTGCTAAGAATTTGGGTATGGTGCTTGTAGATCCGAACTGATAAACCCATGTGCTGTGCAGATTTGCAGTCACAAAAGTCATGTAGCTTGGTGATCACTGCAGCATACTGCTCTGCCAGGGAGTGCCTGTGCCAGAGAGGCTGTACCATGCCAAATTCTGTGCAAGGGGTCCTCACGCCCTTGCTTTCCTAGTTTGATGGACAGCTGAGTATTTATCAGGTCAGCTCATCTGAATCTGGTGGTGGATTTAATGGCTCTTGGGTTAAGACATGCCAGCTCAAGCCCCCTTCTCCACCCTGACCCAGAATGCTGCAATTAATAACCGTCATCATGTATGGGGTATACTAGAGCCATAGGCAGTGCCGAGTGAAAAGATTTTGAAGGTTTCCTCCTTGAATTTGCTAGCTTGCATGACTCTTACCAGTTTTAGAGTGCAATTGCTGTGGATTTATTCAAGCAGAAAAATGAAAACACCCTGTTAAATGTAACTGCCAAATTTCTTTAGAAGTCATGTGAATTTGGACTCAGCCTTGTGCTTGGTGTGTGGGATGAAGTCTGTTGAGCTAGGAGCCGCTCCTTCTTAAAGGAAAGACAGATAACTGGAGCTGTGCTCCACGTGGAGTATGTAGAAAAGGGAAGGGGAAGAGGAAAGCTTGGCAAAACAAGCATCTGCTTTGGTCTCTGCTCCACAACAGAGAAAGGAAATGTTAAGCTTGGTGCAGATGAAGACCCTTTGGCGTATGCAAGGTTTTGGGCAGGACTGAAATAAAAGTTTTATCATGACAATTGCAAAAGATGGCGGTACCAGCTGATAAAGAGAAAGAGCACTGTTACAAAGGGAGAAGTAGCATTGACTGAATCATCTACCTGCTGTGAACTGGCAAGAAGAACATTTTTGTGCTGTTTTAGCAGTGCATGTTGTGAGAATTTGCTTTGAAACAGATAAAAAACCTTTGTAAATCCTGTGTCTTGGTTAAAATGTACTGTGCACACTGATATTTAGTTGTCATTATTTGTTGGGTTTTGAAATTGCCTGTGTAATTAATACAAACTTTTTTTTCCAGTTATGACATGCACTGATTATATTCCAAGGTCATCAAATGATTATACCTCGCAAATGTATTCTGCAAAGTAAGTCGAACAATTGTTACTAAATTCTGTAACTCTTGCTTCCTTCTGAAGTTATCTTTTTGCATCTTTATACGTTTCTGTAATGCTGTAACTCATACTGTAATATCTTCTGGCAACAGATACTCATTGCTGCGGACACTGAAGCTGATAGAAGTCACCCTTTGGCTTCAGTGGCTGTTGTCTTATGATCACAAAGATAAATGAGCCACTTCAAGTAATTAACAACACAATATTCTTGTTGAATATTGCCCATAATATTTGAGGAATAAATAAACTGGACACTGGAATGGGTTACCCAGAGAGGTAGTAGAGGCCCCATCCCTGGAAACATCCAAGGCCAGGTTGGACGGGGCTCTGAGCAACCTGATCTGTTTAAAGGTGTCCCTGCTCCCTGCAGGGGGGTTGGAATAGACGACCTCTAAATGTCCCTTCCAACCGAAAACATTCTATGATTCTATGACATAAATGAATGTAAGGGGAATATAGGATTTTTCTGGTCATAGAACCATAGAATCATTTAGGTTGGAAAAGACCTTTAAGATCATCCAGTCCAATCGTTACCCTAACCCTGCCATCCTACCACTAAACCATGTCCCTAAGCACCTTGTGTGCCTGGCTTTTGAATACCTCCAGGGACAGGGACTCAACCACTTCCCTGGGCAGTCCATTCCAATGCTTGACAACACTTTTGGTGAAGAAATTTTTCATCATTTACCATGTTTGGGGATCTTCGTTTTTCCCATTGCAGCATAGTAGGCCTTAATCCCCCATGCTTGCTTTTGTGCAGTCCCTTTGTTTGTTCCAGTAGTTTTGACATGTACCACTGTATTGTATTAGCTTTAGGATTTGGTGTTGTGAGGCATGATAAGTGAAACTAATTGCTCGTGCCTGTTGGAATGGGGAGTTTGTTCTTCACCTTACACCCTGCCATCCCAGTCCTGGAATAAGCACTGGTGCTCTGGCATCATGAAGGAGACAGTTTCCCGTGGTGTCCCTGCAAGAAACAGGCAGGATATATAAAACCAGGAGCCTGTTGTATTGGGAAACACAAGCGGGCATTACACTAAGAGCATGTGTCATTGTTTATTGTTTCTTCTTCCTAAAGCAATTTTTTTAATGTGTCTTCTGGTTTGGAGGCTGAAAGATGCATAATGTAAATAGTTCTTTTTTACTTTTGTTCTTCCTTTTTAATAAGACCATATGCACATATCCTTTCTGTACCCGTATCGGAAACAATGAGCCCTTACCCTGGTCAGACTCAGTACCAAGCACTACAGCAGTCTCAGCCCTACACCATCTACTCCCAGACCACCCAAACCTATGGACTACCTCCTTTCGGTAAGAAGTAACTTTTCAAAGACTTCTCAGTACCTGCAATTATTTTTTTACGTCTCATTAAAAAGCATTGTTAAGCTTAACCAGGTGTGTGGGAGAGAAGCGTTTGTAGGAGAGCACATGCCTAACTTAAATTGTAGATCCCTATCTACAGTACTGATGGGACTTAATATTATAAAATATGTCTTAAAATAAAATCTTACAAAGCTGTTTTCCTGGCCATTAATTTGGATGTCTTGCCAGATGGTTCTTAGTTTGGGATCATAATTTTCTCCAGTTGTGGTATAGCTGTGTTTGTGCAGCTTCCTTGGCAGTGAGATCACACAAGACCCCTTACTGCAGCATCTCTGCTGAAGGTATTTTTCCTTTCCTTTTTGCTGACCAGGATTAAGACTTTTTTGTTATTTAATCTTTCAACAAATGTAGATTTCATGCTAAAATGTCTCTAGGCAAGTAAGTTTGCTTAAGTTGCTCTAACACTTGAGACCTCCATTAGCCATTCCAGTTTTCACAAATGATTGAAGGATGAGAGTCCTGTTGTAACTGAGCAGCTAAAGCTCGATGACAGGGTCCGAGCTATTCACCCTGTGCTTCCTCTGTAGTGCATGGAGGGAGAGATACACCTCTGGGTGTTGGGCTGATTTGGAAGATAATGGCCATCTTTCTCCATGATGTATAAAGGGAATTGAGGATGAGTAGAGCAGACAGAAACATCCAACTTCTGGGTGGGTCACCTAGTGAAAGGAGCTGCCTGGTCTTTCCTCGTACTCTCTGTATTAAGTGTCAGGCACTGGGGAAAAAACCACACGATTGACTATCCCCCGCATGTATGAAATTTTATGACTGATTATTAAAAATTAACATTTTCACTTTTCATTTTTGATGTCGCCCTGCTTGGTTTCATGTGTAAATACTGCATACTGTTGCCAGCTCTGCAAAGTGTAACGCGGCGGGGACTGTTTAGCCCCTTAGCACCTAGCTGTGCTGAGAGGGGAGAGCATCGCCCTCCCGTGCGGGAGCCAGGGGAGCACCGTGTGTGCCGTCGGTGAGCTGCACAAGCTGCGAGGTGACCGTGAAGCGGCTGTCCAGGGGCTTTTGGTCAAGCTGCATAGTGAAATGAACAGATTTACTTCTTGCAGATTTATCTGTAATGCCAAAATCTTCGTATCCTGAAGTGTAAAAGGATGAATTTTCCTTAGCTGAAGAACTAGATGTCTTTGAACAAAAAGAGCAACATTTATGGCTTTTGTTAGCTGCTGGCAGAGCAAGGACTTTTGTTTAAATTACAAAACAATTGATTGGTCATGGTATTTTTGAAAGATGGTGTAGAAAAGGTGATACAACTACACTCAGTTTTACTAGACATAAGTTACATTATGATTTCCATTTAAAGCAATATGGCACACATTGTTATCTTTATGAGAAAGGTCAATACATAAAGTGAATCTACATACCCTTTCTTTTTTTTTTTCTACAGACCTTTCTTTTTTTTATCTACAGACCTTTCTTTTTTTCATATATATACACCAGGGCTTCATGAAAAGTAGTTTTCTTGTGGTTGATGCTTCCTTAGGAAGAAAATTACGGATTTGTAGTAACTGGGACGCAAGGCCTTGATCAAACAGTATCTCCCATATCTCATTTTCCCTGTATTAATGCCGAGCTACACTGTTCTGACTGATTGCTTGAATACCGTAAAGTGGGAGCTTTGCAGGGTGTAAGTGTTGGGCTGTTTTATTAGCAGCTCAGGGCTGTTTGTTAGGTGCTGAGGGCTCTTCAGGAGAATAGGGTCCTTTGGGTGGATGGTGGTATTTGCTGCTTCTGCATTTCTAGCTAAGCCCCGGCCAGCGAGGTTCAAGTGTGACTGCTGTTTCAGAGGTTTTTAAAAACAACCAGCCCTCCCTACCACCTGGCATGACGGCGGTCTTGGGATTTCTGGTTGGCTCTGTGTTACGTGTCCTGAGGAGCCAAAGGTCTCTGCCTGTTGTGTTTTCTGAGCTCCCTTCGCCCCTCCAGGAGAGTTTCTCCCAAGAAAGCTGAACGAGTGCGGAGAAGGTTGATGCTGTGTCCATGCCCAAGTCTTCAGTAGCCAGTGCAGTTTGTCTGCTGTCTTTCTAAATACTCTTCTCCTTGTCTTTCTGTCCAGTTGTAGTGTTGGGTGTTGCCACCATGGTCTGTTACCTACAAACTGTGCCCGACCCCATGGTTGCTGGAACACACTTCTCTTCCCTGGGTGCCTGCACTTGGTTTCAGTGCCTTGTTGCACTGGTCTTTGCTATATCTGAACAGTGGCTGGTGGTTTTTTTATTTCATTTATTTGATGTTTATTGATAGTTTGTTGGGAACGGTGCACTGAGGCTGCTTTGTACGTTATTAGGTATTTACCTGTGTCACCATGCCTTGTTTTAAAGGCAAATATGTGTCAATATGTGTAATGCTCCCTTGAAGTGCTAGGCCAAGATGCTTAAAAAGGTGGTTTAGACTAATCTCTAAATTTTTTAGGGGGAGGGAGGATGTAGGGGTTTCTGTTACTGTTTTGTGTGTGATGTTCTGTGGTAGTGGTGGTGGTGGCTGTATTTGGAGGGAAGGGTGAGGTTTTTCTAATTCAAAGGCTCTGGAATTTGGGGGTACCTAGCTGCTTCAGTGTTATACTCTGAATGTAACCATAGAAATTCTTCTGAAGACCTAGGAAAGAGTTCAGCAATTTCTGTTGACTTCATAGGAACTTTTGTCTGTTAAACATCTTCTGAAATGTGATCAGTTACTGAAATGTCTTGGTATGGGTTTTGAGGGCTATTATTAAATACCTGATATTTTAGTCTGAATTTAAGTGTTAGGAAGATGTTAGAAGTCATATTTCCAGTAATGGAAATCATACTGGAGTGGTACCTGCTCGATCCTGTTGACCTTGCATGGTGTGATGGGCAGGTGAAGGGTAGAGGACTGAGCACGCTCAGTGCAGAGGAAATTCTGCAAATCGTTTCTGCTCACAAAATCTCCATTGAGCAGGTGAGGACTTGGCCAGCCTGGTCAGATGTTCTACCAGCACCAAAGGGCCTGATCCAGAGGTTTGCATGACTTCCTACTGTATATTTGTTTCTATGCCAAAAAGAAGGCATCATGGATTATCTAACTGGAAGAAAGCAGATGTATTTTAAGAATGAAATTCAAGCAAGCTGACAAACACAAGCATGGTGTTGAGATCACTCAGGTTAGGGTGCTGCTTTCAGAGAAAAGATGACCTATGCTCTTGCCAGTTTGCATCTCTCCTTGCGCTGTAATACTTCTGTGACAGTGTTTAGGGCATTGTTCTACATGAGATGCACTTGTGGTCTGGAGAGATTTTATTAAAGAAGCATTAAAATAAGTGACTTACAGGCTGCATATGTGTGGCTGTAAGTTGGTGTTAGAAACACTGTGGATGTGATGGTTTACATTAACTCAAGAAAAAACTACCAGTGGTGGACTGTCCTCTGTGGGGCCTTTTCACATATGTAGATGCGCACTGTGACGTTCCTCTGCCCCAGCTGCAGTGCTGGGGTGGATGCAGAGGGGTCTCATTCCCCCTCGTCTGGCTTCCCGTCTGTCATCCTTGAGGGTGGGCTAGCTTATAAATGCTGCCTTGCAGAAGGAGAGGGAAGGACATGTGCCACCAGGCCAAGAGTGTGCCTTGCTGTATGGAAAGTAGAACATGTCTATACTGGGAGATGACACAGTCATGGAAAGCAGGGGCTGAAGGATGCCTTAGCGCACGACCTGAGTCGGCTCCTGCACTTGCATCCCACCAACCCTGCCAACACCTCTGACGTGTGTCTGACCTGGTGTTACTCTCCTCATGTGACAATTACCCTACAGCATTCAGAGTTGGCTTCTGTTTTACTATCATGGTTAGTAGGCACTTCTGTGCGTCCTGTGACCAACCGTCTTGTTATGTGGCTGTCTGCTCCATGTCCATCTATCTTGCACTGTAAGGAACTGTTGGTTACTCTCCCCTCTCAAAGCTACTCACCTATTTGAAGATTGTGGCGCTCCCTTTCCAGACTAAACAAATACAGATACTCCCACTCTCCTTAGAGGGTCTGTTTCCCATATGTTTTATTCTGGAGTTTCTGCAATGTATCTACAATCTTTCTTAAACCAGTCTTTCCCTTTTGTTTACTAATTACCATGGTTCTCGAGGTTTGAAACAGTAATGAAGACGCAACCCGAGAGTTGAAGAATCAAAACCCTGGTGTGGCTGTACAGATAGGTGAATGACTTAATTTGACTCACAGGTGACAGTTTGAGATCAGGTATGTAAATAAATCAAAGAGCTGTTGCAGAACTCAATTCTGACAAAGCTGCAGCATGGAGCGAGCTCTTGGAGTCGCTGCTCTTGTCCATCTGTAGAGTCTCCTGTGTCTTCTGGGTAAGAGATTTGGAGCTTACAGCCCATGGCTCGTCCTGCTGGAGCAAGTGAAAGGCTGCAGGTGGCTTTCACAGCCTTGGTACTGGTTTTGGGAGGCTTAAGAAGGAGGGTGGTCTTTCTGCTGGCCCTGAACTTTGTGTCTAGCTCCAAACATCCTTTGTTCCTCTGCTTTGCACACTCCTGCTTGTTTTTAAGTACATCTCAACTGATTCATGCTTTCTAACCAGGGCCAGGGAGAAATGCCTTTGACTTTGGCTGTAGGTCTGGAAACACTTAAACAAAAGCCTGAAGAGCCCTGAAGCACCAGGCCTGAGCTGAGCTACTTCAGTCGGATGCTGTTTTCACCACTGTCAGTGCAGTGGACTAGACACTGTGGCACCTGAGCTGGAACCACACTGTTTATGCGTGCCTTGCACAGATGAATTGCAGTCATTTCACTGTCTCTTCGCTTTGCCCAATGTTATTACAAATGCTTTCCAGGATGGCAGGAAATCTAGAAGAAACATTTAGACTTTTTTTTTTAAGCTCTATGTTAGCTGTTGTCAAGGTTATGAAAATTACTGACTTGTGGCTTGTTTTAAAATGTTCAACCTAAAGCCCAGTGAAGTAGTGGAAGCATTGACCTTGACCTTAATATAAACCAACCTGAGCCTCGCTATGTAATAGCTGAGGTCATTTGCCGTGCTGTACACCTCAGCCCAAACCTCAGAGGGATTAGCAGTTCCTTTGTACTGATGTGGCAGTGAATCCTACTGTGACATGAACAAATTTTTAGTTGAAAGCTTTGGAAATTGGTCTTCTTGGTGCTTTTAATTTTCTCTTTTTCAGCCAGTTTTGTCAGCAGCTCTAATCCATGCACAGCCTGACAGTCAGCACTTACTATTGCAGAAATTAAACATTTTCCATGTGTGATTTGTTACTTGCTCTTGTGACAAGCAAAATCTTAACCTGAGGTAGCAGCATGCTGTTTGGTCCCAGCATATTTGTTTGTAACTGGTCCAATTTATCTGATTCAGGTGCACTGTGGCCAGGTATGAAACCTGAAAGTGGTTTAATTCAGACTCCATCTACAAGTCAGCACAGTGTTCTCACCTGCACTACAGGGTTAACCACAAGCCAGCCCAGCCCAGCACATTATTCTTATTCCATTGAAGGTAACTTGGCATGGTTTTTATCTGCATCTCTCTCCACCTAATTGAGTCCAAATACACAAATAGAGAGGCTTGCACGTTTGTTCTTGGTTTGTGCATGCTTCTTTATGCTTTGTCTCTCTTTTCTTTGTGCCTGTGTATGTGTTTGGTTTTGTATTTGCTGCCATCCTCTGTGTGCACCAGGCTGGCTTGTTGGTGCCATGCTGATGGACTTAACAGGGTGAAGAGCAAAGGGGAAGGGGAGAGGAGTCTAAATGTTGTGTTCTTGCATGCCTTTCCTGGGAATGCTCTTGCAGCTCACACTTTTTGTTGGTGGTCTTCAGCTTGATGTCAGGAAATACGCTGAGTGACATTGGATTTTTTTTTTTAATTACTTCTGGAGGTGGATGGCTCTTACATGTTACACACACCCACACCCCGCAGCTTGGTAGATGGGCTACAAAGTGAGTATCTCGGTATAGAACTAGCCTTCAAATATTCCAGCTGCTGGAAGTGCCACATCTAAGAAGCCAGGTGCTGAATTTCACCAGCTTCCAAAGCAATTTTTGTAAATGTACCAGTTAGCTGAATAATGGGATATTTGTTTATGGCAAATATGTGCAAATTGATACTTTTTTGCTAGGCAGGATTTTTGCCATTTATGTTTGGGTGATGAATTGTGAAAATTTGTCTCTTTCTCTGTAGTTTTTTAAAAGCATTTCAGGAATTCCTAATTATTTCTTGCGTGACATTTACATAGAATAATTCAGGGACTTCAGAAGATCTTTAGTTCAGCCTCCAGCTCAAAGAAGAGTTGACAGTGAGTTCAGAACTAGGTTGCTCAGGGCTTTATGTAAGCTGGGTCTCAAGAACCTCTGAGGATGAAGATTTTGCCAGTTCCAGTGCCTGACTGTCATCACAGTGAAATTTCTTTTCCTTTGTCAACTCAGAGCATCCCCTCTTTCACATTGTGACCGTTCCTCTCCTCCTGCTGTGCACCTGCAAAAAGAGCCTGGCTCTGTCTTCTCGATAACCTCTGTGCAGGTTCCAGCATGCTGCTGTCGGGTCCCCCGAAGCCATGCCTGCTCCAGGCCAGGCAGTCCCGCTCCCCCAGCAGCCCCTCGCAGGGGACGTGCCCCAGCTGCCCGGCTGTTTTGGTAGCTCTTTGCCAGGCCCGCTGAATTTTATCAACATGTTTCTTGTGCTGAATGCTGTATCCAGATGTGGCCTCATGAGTGCCAGGTAAAGGGGAATAACTCTTAAAATTAGCAGTAAGTGGGGTTTAGCATATCTTTCACTGGTAGGAAGGCCATGTGGTGTGTCATGGTCCTTGCTCACCTTTTGTCGTTGTGACAGTAAATGGCCCAGAGTAATGTTTATCCTTAATTTACTTCTCATGTTCATAGCATGAGCAATACAACACTGGAAATACTACCTTCCTTCAAACATAACTCTCCTCCAGGTACTCCCACCGGCAGAATGAACTATAATGTTTTATAGCACCAGCTTTATTTGCCAAGAGTCAGAAATGGTTCTGTATAATGTGATCCTTGGCAGGCTTGCCAGGGATGTACCACGGCCAGCGCGTGAATCCCTGGGGATTAGTGAGGTGACAGAGCCACTGTCAGGCCTCGCTCTGCAGAAGGATTTTAAAACATTCGATCCGCGCTGCTGTGAGAATGTGTGATTTGAGGAGAGTTTCCCTTCGGGCTGCTCATTGAACATGTGAAGAAGTCACTAGAGTTGCGTAAGCGCTTTCACTTTTCTGAAAAATCTTTTTGCAAACTGGCAGGAAACTCTTCCTTTTTTTGCATTTGCTACGTTTCCTTTTCCTCAAATTAGCAAGCAGCCCACGGCGGGGTCAGCTTTGGCTGGTGCAAGGGAGGCGGTGGAGCAGGAGCTGGAAGGATGGACAAAGTGTTTAGTAATCTCTTGAAAATCTGTCTTTTCTCTCCAGTGAACACAGTAGGGTGACACACAGTTGTACGATGCTGCTGTCCCACTGGAGGTGTATCACAGTGCATGGATATGGTTTGGTCTGCAGATGCTGGACTGAAGTAATGTGGTGCTTGAACCCTGATAAAAGGTCAGGTGCACCTAGTGACTGAGGAATTTGCTTTTTTTACTCACCTGGGCTGTGGCCACAGTGGTGTGCTGCAGGGGTGCTTGGAAGCACTGGGGGCAAAGTGGGAGGAATGGCTGCTTCTGGCCTCTCCTCTTCCTTCCCTGCGAGAGCAAAGTGAGCCAAGTGAGACATAAAATGCATTAATTGCCATTCCCCTTCCCAGCACATGAAGCAGGTTGAAACATCTTTGAAAATGACTGAAGCAAAACCGAATGGGATGAATAAGGCAGGGGAGGTAGCGTTATAAGGTCTGAGGATGAGGTCTGGAAGTGGGGGAGAAAGAGAGGAGAAAAGGAGTCACGGCAGCTTCAAGATCATACTTGCATTTGCTGGTATTTTAAACCTGAGACCATGAAATGGTGCCTTTTGGTACATCTGTGCCAAACACTTTTGCGTGGTTTTGGCCCATTCCCAGGTAAAAGGAACGGTGCAGAAAGAATTGGTTAATCTGTGTAGTGGGAGCTGTTTGTCAAGATCTGATGTGTAACACTGTATACATAAAGGGTAATTAAAAGATAGATGTTGGAAGGAGACCAGAGTTAAGATAAACAGTGAAGTTTGTATGAGAAAATCTGTTTTTACCAGAATCCCGGCACTTGGAATCTTTTTTCTGTGATTTCTTAACTTCTGTTATCTATCTCAGTGGAGAAGCAGGCTCTTCAGAGCACTACAGATGGGAATTGCTTTCTGTTTGCTCTCTGTGCTAACCTTGAGAGAGGTGGTAGAATAATCTGTCTTCTAGGTAGTTCATCTCCTCCGGCTTCATGGCAGGTTTGTTCTGTGTTAGCGAGGATCTTTTCTGGAGAGCTGCTCTTTGCAGTGCCCTAGGAAGTGGCATTTTCTTAAGGTAAAAACAACCTTGATCATTTCCATAACATGTTTAGCTGGAAGGAGTTTTATTTGGAAACCAACCTCTGTTCTCCAGCAGTTGCCTATGAGGAGGGTCTGTGACAGGTACCCTGCTCTCACAGCCCTGCTTCTCGTAGCTGCGTAGCTACTGTAGGTACTATCTATGAGGGGATTCCTAGGGGCTAATTACTTACTTCCGTTTCTGCTTCCGCAGAGATGCCACCCTTCACATTTCTCACCTCTTGTAAATACTGTGTGTTTCTGCACCTCTTGTAAGATACATTTCTTTTGTTTTTCATCTTTTTTGAGGCATATTTTGGATCCATTCCTCTTTCCAGGACCTGTTTACCAGGTAGTATCTGTGCTTGCCGTAACACAACGTACATTGATTAAGAGTTCATGGTGGGGTCTGTTTCCCTGGGGCAGGAAGACTGAAGCCTTTAGAAGCTTGGGTTCTTCAGTCTTGGGGTGAATTCTGCCTGGGTGTTATTTGCAGAAAATGAGGGCTTTTCTCAGAGTGATGGTAAAGTAGGTGATACTGTGGATTTCTGCAAGTTTTTTCATAAGCATCTAAAAGTGATTTTTCGTTTTATTTGTGTGCAGAGAAAGAAGGTTTAGCAAAAGAAAATATTTCTTGGTGGCACCTGGTTTGGTACATCCTGATTTTGTTCATGCTGATTCATTATTTGTTTTCACTCATCCTTAAGGGTCCCAAACCCCCCTGTGTGGAGTAATGTTTAATGGAACAGCCCTGTGGCTGTACAAGCACAAAATCTGCCAAATGACTGGTGTTCCCAGGAGGTGCTCTAGCAGCCTCATCTGTATTTTGGGAGAACTGAATGCAGTGACGTGAAGGCTATGAAACATCTTAAAATTCATACTAACAACTCCATGTCTCTAATAATTTGTCCTACAAGCTGTTGGCAAATTATTTCAGAAAGTCTCATCCAAAAACCAGTTGTAGTCTCACAGGGATACGGGGAGATATGTTCGCTTTCTCCAGTAGCAGGCACCCTTTTTATGCTATTTGAAATATTTTTACTATTTCCTTAATTTTTTGATCTAATTAGACTAAATATGCTGAGTCCAGTGCAGAGAGACTTTTTTTCATCAGAACTGATTTAAACACATTCGTATCCATCTTACTGATTTATTGTGATTAATTTTCAGCTGCTGATAATTGAATATCAGAATGTGATTTTTGTCATGCCAAAATGTTTAGTAAAGATGTGGAACCATTTAAATTATACTCCAGTTCCTTAGCAGGCACAGAGGGAAAAGGTTTCTGAAACATTTGAAAGTACTCTTTTTAAAGATATGCTAGCTCTCCTTCCCTGTAAGCCCAGTTGAAATGTCACTGGTTTAAAAACACACCCAAGTCTTTTTTGGCTGTTACAAGCAGAGTGCTGCTGGAAACATAAATGCTTGCGCACAAGCCTAGTAAGTACTTATTTCACAGCTTGGATTGGTCTTGTCTCTTGTGCTTTTCTGGAAATATGTAATGCAGTAATCCTTGATTTTACAGCATCAACTACCGATGCCAGTCCAGTCTCTACATCCTCAACTGTTGTCAATATTTCCACGTCAACAGTAGCCAGCATCTCACAGGTAAAACTTCTTCCTTGTTATACTTATGTGCAGCATCTCCTTCACCTTTGTTTAACACGTTACTCAAAACTCAAAGGCAGGCCAAATATTTGCATCTCTTCAAACAGAATACAATGGGTACTGGAGTTCTAGGGTGCAGCGTGTAAATCCAAGTCAGCTAAATTACTCTTGCTGTCTCATTGACCATGATGGTTTTCCCTTTGGCCTTCGTGGCAAACTCACTTCATCTGTTCAAAGGTGTTTCCTTCTCTGCAGATCGTGTGGTGAATGTTAAATAGGGTTCTGAGATCTCTGCCAGAGAGACAACGGAGAAGGAACAGTAGAACTATTTTGAGAACCAAACCTACAGGGAGAATTATAGGTGGATGTTTTCTGAATGCCTTTGTTCTCTGTCAGCAAGAAAAGGAAAATAGCTTGTACACAAACAAAACAGATAAAACCCCCCCAGTAAAGTAGGAGATGTGTTCTGATGGTGCTAGAGTAAAACAAAGTCAAAAAGCCCTGCAGCTAGCCCAGAGCCCTTCCCCCTGACCAAGCAGATAACACATAGCACTGTCAGCGGTTAGCTGCCATGCTGAATATTTACACATACAAAGGCACCCGTTGATGCCACAGCTCTGCAGAAAGAGAAGTAAGAAGTGTGGAAAATACAATGGATTCACAAAAATCCCTGTATGCTTATGCTGTTGCTTTTTAAAGTTCCTTCATTAACATAAACTTGCTTGGAGCTGTAAGGGGGGAAAAAAGATCTTCTTTCAGTAGTGCAGACCAAGGTACCTGGTTCCCAAATCCAGGTTGCTCTTTGAGGGAATGAGGAGTGCACAGTGTGCCTGAAGAGTGTGACATGACATTTGGGGTGGCTGCTTTCTTTACTGTCAGTAAGCAGAAATTAAAATCCTCAAGCACAGCTTCAGGTGCTCAGTGATCTCCTAAATGAATAAACAGTCTTCATAAATGGATACCTCTCATCACAACATGTACAATAATTGCTTGCTGAAGTCAGGACATGAGTAAAGGCTGTTTATCCTGTAGCTCCCGTGACCGAGCTTGCACCCTCAGCCAGTGCCAAGACCACTTTCTGTCGCTATCAGTACATCTGGTATCAGAAAGTAAAACGCAACATAAAACCACAAATTCCAGAACACAGACAGTGTGGACAGATGCCGTGGCATCCACTCGATCCGATCTTTCCCTGTTACTGTCACATCATTCATAATGAATTAATTTTGAAGGAGCTGGAGGCAGAGGAGTGGCCCTGTGATTGCTGGCCTCCTGTCTGCAGAACCTGCCTATGTGGGGGCCATTGCAAAGTCAGATCTCTCAACCCTTTTTTGGTCTTGCATATGCAGAAAGAAATAGCATAAAGTCAGACTGTGCTCTTGCTGGGATTTCTCTTTGACAGGCATATTCTAGCATAAAAGTAATCTTAATGTAGAAAGTTTTCTGAAAGAAGTGTCCTATCATAACCGATCCTTTCCTCTGACAGGAATATCCTACATACACGATCCTTGGCCAAAGTCAGTACCAGACGTGTTACCCGAGTTCTGGCTTTGGAGTTGTAACACCAGCAGACAGCAACACAGAGAATACTGCGCTAGCAACAGCTACGTATCCAACCGAGAAAACAAATGCCATGGTGCCTACGCGGACGGTGCAGAGACATTCCTCCGGTAACGGTTGGATCTTTAACAGGGTGGCTGCAAAATACCTGTGATAAACAGTACAGTGTGCAGATGTGGGGAAAGCTTTTTCTCTAAAAGATAATTGCAGCACCTTTTTAATTTAATTTTTAATTAAATTTTTTAATTTAAGATAATTGCAGCTGTCCTGGACAGGACGTTTGCCTTCCCTTATCAGACTGGTCTCACTGGTATGCAGAGTATGCTGGTGGGCCAGCCAAACTTACATATTGGAAGTCTTATCCTGCTGCGATTCAGCAGACACCTCCCACATGCTCTGAATACCCTAGGGAGAGGGAATTCCAGGGGTGGCTTGAAGAGTTGCCAGCAGCAGCTGCCTGGAGAGACTGTTGATTCTGTCAAGTGTCGGGGCTGGGTGTTCACCCAGGCTATGGGGTAGCTGATGATACCTAGTCTCAGTAGCTCATGC